CTGTGCTGCCGATGCTGCAGCAGCGCGCAAGAGTGCGGATGGTGCTGAGTGTCTGCTGCTGCAGCTGCTGCTGCTGCTGCCGCAGCAGCCCACAAAACACAGCAGAGGGCATCGCAACTTCCTCGGCCTCCAGGTCTTGCTGCTGCTGCTGCTGCTGCTGCTGCTGCAGGAAGCCTAGCAAGTATGCGTCTGTTTTTCCCTGCAGCTGCGGAGACACTGCATAGTGCAGGAAGGCTGTGAGCTGCTTCGCCTGCAGCAGCAACTCGGGCCTATCTGCTTCTCGCAGCTGGTAGTCTTCTGCTGCAGTTAGAGCTGCTGCGGCGGCTGCTGCAGCCTTCTCTGCGGCAGGTGCAGCAGCAGCAGCTGCTGCTGCTGCTGCCTTTGCTGCTTCGATGGCCTGCGGCTGCGGGACGGGAGAGCCGTCCGCAACAGCATCGACGTACTGACGAAGCAATTCTATCAAAGAGTGCTGCTGCTGCTGCTGCTGCTGCTGCACGCCCGATGACAGAAGGAAGTCCACAAACAGCAGATCCGGGTGCGACTGCTGCAGTGCGTAGCAGACCTTAATGACTGCCACTGCCGCGAAGCGCAGACTGCTGCTGCTGCTGCTGCTGCTGCTGCTGCTGCAGTTCATCTCAAGATGAAGCGCCGCTTTCATTTCGGGCAGAAGCCGCAACACCGCTAGCCTGTGGCCAACAAACGCAGCGCAGACCCATATATGCAGCAGCAGCAGCAGCAAACCGTATTTTAATAGCAGCAGCAGCTTACCTGAGGGGCCTGGCTGAAGTGACCTCGAGTTGCTGCAGCAGTACTTCAAGGAAGGCTTCCTTCACGCCCCAGCACTCGGGAACGTACTGCTGCTGCTGCTGCTGTTGCAGCAGCTGCTGCTGCCCAGATTCCGTGAGAAGAGGACGCAGCAGAGCTTCTGCTGCAGCAGCAGCAAACCTGTTAAGCAAAGAGCTCAGCGGTGCTGCATACAAGGGGCTCTGGAGCGCAAGCAGCCGCTGCAGCAGCTGCTGCTGCGCCTCGCCGCTGCTGCTGCAGCCGCGTGGCAGCAGCAGCGAAAGCAGCAACTGCTGCAGCCCGTCTGTAGCAGGCATAAATGCCAGAGCTGCGATGCAAGCAGCAGCAGCGCGCCAAACCTGCACCGCAACAGCAGCAGCAGCAGCAGCAAAGCAGCGAGCACGGAGCCCTATACTCTAAACCCCAAATCCTACGGGCAATGAAGTGCCACCTTGGTCCCAAGCTCTACCAGCCAACTTTTGAACCCTAAACCCTAAACCTAAACCCTAAACCCTTAGCCCTTAGGAAGCTGACAAGGACATGCGAAGAGGCAGCAATGCCTTCCGGCGCAGCGCTGTGGAGGAAGCGGACGGCTGCTGTGCTGCTGCTGCTGCTGCTGCTGCTGCTGGGCGAGCTACCGCAAGCGCCGACTGCAGCCGAGTAGCAGCCCTCTGCTGCAGCAACAGCAAAAGTGTGCTGCAGCAGCTGCTGCAGCACCTGTTGGGCCTGTCCCCCGCAGGCGCCGGGGTGTATGTGCAGCAGCCGAGACACCCCGTGCAGTAGCCCCACAAGAAACTTTTCTCTTGGCAGCAGCGCCGCGCCCACGCGCTCGTTTGCTGCTGCTGCTGCTGCTGCTGCAGGGTGTGCTGCTGCTGCTGCGGTGGCTGCCAACGCGGCAGCTAGCTGCTGCTCCACGACGGGCCACACGATGTCCTCCAGAGCAGCAGCAACCAGCCGGCTGCTGCTGCTACTGCTGCTGCCGCTGCTCTCCCCGCTGCTGCTGCTGCTGCTGCAGTTGCTTTCGTGCTTCAGCAGCACCTTCAGCGCATGCATTGCAGCGCGAGACAAGTCATGGAATGGCAAAAAGAGACAGCTGCAGCAGCACAAACAACAACCAAAGAAACGCAAAACTGCTCCGCCACCACTCTAAATGCGACTCCCACTGCTTCTGCTGCTGTTGCTGTTGCTGCTGCTGTTGCTGCTGCTGCTGCTGCGGAGCCTCACTTAGCAATGCCTGCGACGCAGTGCTGCAACGCAGGGGCAGAGGGATCGGCGGTGGTGATGACGAAAGGGACATCTGCTGCTGTTGCAGCAGCAAGAGCCCCTGCTGCTGCGGTTGCATTGAACAAGCTACTGCTGCTGCTGTTGGGGCCTGCTGCTGACCCAGGGGCTTGACCTGCAGCAGATTGCTGCTCCTTCCTCGCTGCGTGCAGCAGCTGCTGCAGCGGCAGCCGCGGCAGCAGCAGCAAAGGCCTCCAGTCCTCGTGCAGCACTGCGAGCTTTAAAAACCGAATCGCCAGCAGCAACGCCTGCAGCAACAGCAGCAACAGCAGCATCCAATGCAGGCGAGTTCTCAGTGACACAATCCCTCTCTAGGGTTTAGGGTTTGGGGTAGGGTTTAAAACGCACATTTGATACATCTGCCTCGACAGATATCGGTGGCACGGCGCCTGTTGTTGCATTCGGCTGCTTCGCCGGTGCTGCTGCTGCTGCTGCTGCTGCTGCTGCTGCTGTGCCTCCGGATGCTGCTGCAGCCATTGGCGTGCCCCCTGCTGCAGCGCTGGGTGTGCGGCTGGGAGTGCTCACGCTGCTGCTGAGAGAACCAGCAGCAGCAGGAGGTGTTCTGTTGCCATCTCGCTGCTGCTGCTGATGCACACCTGTTGCTGCTGCTGCTGCCGCTGCGCCGCCCAGTGCAGCAGCTTGCGCCACAGCAGCAGTAGCAGCAGCAGCAGCAAAGCCCTGTAGGCCCCGGTACAGCACCGCCAGCGTGTCATCAAGCAGCCAGCAAATAACAGTGAGCCCATCTGCTGCTGCTGCGTTGGCAGCAGCAGCAGCAGCTGCTGCTGCTGCTGCTGCTGTTGCGGCGGTCGCACCACCGGCAGCAGGGGAGGAAGCAGCACCAGGTGCACCTTGCTGTTGATGATGCTGCTGCTGTTGCTGCTGGTGCTCGGCAGCCGCTGCTGCTGCGACTGCTGCAGCAGCAGCAGCAACAGCAGCAACAGCAGCCTTCCCAGGCTGCAAACCCCGCGGCGCTGGCCGCAGCGCAGCAACAAAACAGACACAATCTAAAAAAGCAGACTGCCAAACAGGGGCCAGCAGCCAGAGGTGTCTGAGTGTTACCCAGCGCAGCACACGCAGCAGCGGCCAGCTGCTGCTGCTGCTGCTGCTGCTACTGCTGCCGCGTGGGCTGCCCCCAGTGGATGCTTCCTGCTGCTGCTGCAGCTGCTGCTGCTGTAGCTGCTGCTGCTGCAGCTGCTGCTGCTGCTGCTGGCGCTCGCCCTCCTCCGCCCTGGAGCCTGTCTGTGCCGAGCGGGAGCTGCTGCTGCTTGCGTCGGCAGCAGCAGCCGCCGCTGGTGTCCCCGCTGCTCCTGCTCCCGCAGCTGATGCTGCTGCTGCTGCAGTGCTGTGACTCAGGACCTCCGTGGGGCTGCTGCCAATCAGCATTGGCAGCAGCAGCAGCAGCCGCTGCGCCGTCTCCCTGCAGATTGGGTTTTGGTGGAAAAGAGTTGGCAGCAAATGAATGTCTAAGCAGCGCCACACGCGCTGCAGCAGACGGCCAGGGTCTTCGTCGTGCGAGCATTCTGCAACTGCAGCACTTGATGCTGCTGTAGCACCTGCTGCTGCTGCAGCACTTGCTGCTGCCGTAGCGCTTCCTGCTGCAGGAGGGCCCGCTGCTGCAGCAGCTGCAGCGGGCGCCCCTGCTGCTGCTGACGCGGAGGAATCGCCACCCCCGCCGTCCGAGGCACGCGAAGGCGACCCTTGCTGCTGCTGCTGCTGCTGCTGCTGCTGCTGTGGGAGAGTAATGAACTCGCTGCGCTTCAGCCACCAAGAGCCGCCGCCGTAAGGCTGCCGCCGCTGCTGCTGCTGCAGCGGGAAGTCTTCTGGCACAGGGGGTGGAAGGCTCCAAGTTGCTGCTGGCGGTGCAGCGCCAGCAGCAGCAATTGTTGCTGTGACTGGATCTGCTGCTGCTGCTGCTGCTGCTGCAGCAGCAGCACCCAGCGCCGCTTCAGCCTCTGCTGCGGCCAAGACGCTATGTAAGAAAGGAGAGTGGTGCTGCTCTTGGCGCAGATACTGCTCGTGCTGCTGCTGTTGCTGCTGCTGCTGCGCAGATAGCTGCTGCTGCCCTCCCACTAGCTGAAACAGCTGCAGCAGCCACGGCAGCCGCAGCTTCCCCCTGTAGCCCAAGCAGCTGTGGGCCACCAGCAGCAGCAGCAGCTCCTCAGCAAGCGACGCACTTAGCCGCGCGTCTGTTCCCTCTGCACACAAACCCTAAACCCTAAACCCTAAACCCTAAACCCTAAAGCCTAAACCCTAAACCCTGAACCCTCAACCTTCCCCTTCTGTCACCCCCTTCTGTGTGGCAGCCGCGCCCTGAAATTGCGTGGAGCCCGCCGCCAACGACCCCAACCCCCAAACCCTAAACCCTAAACCCTAAACCCTTGCCTGCGCATTTAAGGCAGTTAATAGCTGCCTGGGCAATCCTGAGGAAGTGCCTTCGGCTCCAAACAGGCGGCAGCACCCGCAGCAAACGAATTAAAGCCAAACAGCCTGCTGCTCTTTCGCTGCTGCTGCGGGAGAAGCAAAGCCGCACCAAGTCGCCGCAGCACAGCAGCAGCAAGTTGCTGCTGCAGCCTGCTGCAGCAGAACCCGGCTGCACCTGCGCAGCAGCAGCGCCCACACGCACCAAACAAACAAGGTAAACCCTAAACCCTAAACCCTAAGCTCCGAGCCCGGGAGGCGCAGCACGAACACAAAGACAGCGGTTCCTCCTTGCATATGAAACCCAAACCTCGACCCTAACCCCCAAACCCTAAACCCTAAACCCTAAACCCTAAACCCTCACTTGGATGAAAGTGCTGCAGCAACGCTCCAAAGCCCTCACTGCATGCAGCGTCGGCAGCAGCGCGGAAGCTTCCACTTTGAGGCAGCAAATAAGCGCGCGGACAACGCAGGCTGCGTCCAGCTGTACGTACACCCCAGACCACACGCACACACGCTGCTGCTGCTGCTGCTGCTGCTGCTGGGGGCCGTGGCTGCAGCAAGCGCTGCAGCAGCAGCTGGTGCTGCTGCTGGTAAAAAGGGCCGGCAGGAACACGATGCAGTTCCTGTTTCACACTGGAAAGCCCAAACCCTAAGTGTGAAACCCTAAACCCCAAACCCTAAATTGTAGTAATTGACTCTCAAACCCTTACTTCGTGAAGCGCGGCGCTGTTTGACAAAAACGGGGCATCTTCGGGCCCCACACGAGCAGCGAAGATGAGGGCACAGTGCTGCAGCAGGCCGTAGACAAACTCTGCGCAGCTGCTGCTGGTCAGCTGCTGCTGCTGCTGCTGCTGCTGCGGCTGCTGCTCCTTCTCCGCTGAAAGGGACCGCTGGTCAAGGACTGCCAGCTGCTGCTGGCGGCTCTCGTAGACCGCGTCGTCGCATGCAAGCAGCAGCAACGCCTGCAGCAGCTGCTGCAGCAGCAGCTGCTCAGCATCTCTGTGGCTTCTTGTGCGCAGCGCAGCACGGCGTTTGTCGAGCGGGTAAGCAACAGCAGCAGCAGCAAGTCCGTCCCACTGCTGCTGCTGCTGCCGCATCAGCAGCTCCTGCTGCACCAAGAGCTGTTGCTGCTGCGCTGCTGCAGCAGTCGGCACGACGCGGTCGCTGCAAAAGTTGGGGTGCTGCTGCTGCAGCGCAGCAGCAACAGCAGCAGGCAGCTGTCCACCCGACTGCGGCTGCAGTGGGAGCCCCCTAGCCTCAGGCGCAACGCTGCTGCTTCTGCTGCTGCGCATGTAGACGACTTGCTGCTGCTGCTGCGCTGCAGCAGCAGCGCGCGCCGTCAGCAGCAGCCAGTAGAGGGAAAGAGGAGAGTCGAAGTCCAGCAGCAGCAGCACAACCTGCTGCAGCAGCTGACCCGCGCTGTTGCGCATGTCTCCTGCCACGCAGCTTTCACAAAGTGAAAGACACAAGCCAGGAGAAGCAGCACCATCAGCAGCAAAAAGCCCCTGCAGCAGCTGCAGCCCTTCGCTTTCGGCCGTCTTTGCTTCTGCTTCTGCTGCTGCTTCTTCGGCGCTGCTGCTGCTCGGGCCCTCATCAAGCTCCTCCGCACCAGCCATGCTAGAGTCGCTGCTGCTGCTGTTGCTGCCGTTGCTGCTGCTGTTTTTGCGGCTGCGAATAATCGCCAAGGCCCGCCTCACAGCGCGGACGGCTTGCTGCTGCTGTTGCTGCTGCTGCTGCTGCGGCTGCTGCGGATGGGGATGAGCAGCAATTCGAGATCCCACAGAAGTGAGCAGCGGCTCAGAGGCGTAGCAGAGGCTTGCTGCTGCTCTGTCTGCATCGGCGTGCTGCAGCAGCTGCAGCACGAGAGACACAACGCGGTCTAGTCCCAGCTGCAGCACCGTCTCGTAGCAAATCTGGCTGCTGCTGCTGCTGCTGCTGCTGTAGCTGCGGTTCGCTGCAGAGGCTGCTGCTGCCAAGCTTGAAAGCTGCTCTTGCTGCTGCTGCTGCTGCAGCTGGTGCAGCGGCTCCGCAGCCACCAGCAGGCCGCCGCTGCCGCAGTAGCTCCCGCTGCTGCTGCCGCTGCTGCTGCTGCAGAGACCAATGGGCAGGCCAATGCTCAGAACCGGCTTGAAATAAGGCTCAGGTGTACAGACAGCTGCATCTTTTAAAAAGGCTCTGTTCTTGCCCCCCAACTTCCCCAGAATTTTTATTACCATTTCTGCATGTTTTTCGTGCTGCTGCTGCTGCATGATGCTGCTGCTGCTGCCGCTGCTGCTGCTTGTTATGAAGTAGCGAGACAGCAGCAAAGACGCTGTCGGCGCAGGGGGCGGCAGCGGCTGCAGCAGCTGCAGCAAAGCAGACAGTAGCAGCGTCCGCCGCTGCTGCCGGTCTCCCTGCTGGACCTGCAGACCCACAGCCCCCAAACCCTGAACCCTAAACCCTGAACCCTAAACCCTAAACCCTAAACCCTACTAGACCGCAGAAGCCTTCCACACCTCTGCGTCCCTCTCAATCCGCTAAACCCCAGCACCTCAACCGTGCCTAACACGAGGGTCTCAGGACCATCCCTAGGGCCCAGAGCTTAGGGTTTAGGGTTTAGGGTTTAGGGTTTACCTGGGAGGCCAGCACGGGGTACACAAAGTCCGCATGCAAATGTTCCACCCACAACTCTATTGTCCTCAAGCTGAGGGTCAAGAGGTCCGCATCGGAGCTCCGCAGCGAGCGCAGCAGCGGATATACCAGAAACCCTAAACCCGCAAACCCTAAACCCTAGACCCCAAACCCTAAACCCTAGACCTGGGACCCTCAATCCCTGAGAGTAAAGCACTTTTTCACTGGGAGAAAATACGCATTCTGGAATGCCTGAACGCTGAAGACGGCCGGCGATAACCGCCCCATTCACCAAACCCTAAACCCTAAACCCTAAACCTTGAATTTCCACGGACAAGCAGCAAACGCAGCAGCAGCATTCTAGGGTTTAGGGTTTACCCATGTGAGGCAGGAGATGCTTTAGCCTTGCTGGAGCCAACAAGGAAAACTCTATCCACAGGTCCTTCAGCACGTCAGGAGCTGCAGCCACAGAACCCCAAACCCCGAACCCCAAACCCTACACCCTGAACCCTCGATTCTGAAAAAAAGACCTCTCAAAACCCAAATCAAAGTCCAAATCCTTGCGGCACGTCTATTGTATCCAAAACCTCGCCACATGCAATTGACGTAGACGGATCCATGACCCTAAACCCTTAACCCTAAACCCTAAACCCTAAACCCTAAACCCTAAACCCGTTGTGCCCACCAGACTGCTGCTGCGCCGCGCATGTCTGCAGGTAAGAGTGCAAGAGGGGCGTGAAAGAGGCAAAAAAGTGGACAGAGCGGCCTGCAGGCAACCTCAACCCCTAAACCCTAAACCCTAAACCCTAAACCCTGAAGCTTTAGCTAAACCCTAAACCTCTAACAGTGCTACCTGCAGATCTGAGCCTCAAAAACTCGACCCGCCTGGAACCCAAAGCGCTGCAGCAGCAGCTGCTGCAACAGAAGCTACTGCAGCAACAGCCACTGCAGCTACTGCAATAGCAGCTACTGGAGCAGCAGCAGCTACTGCAGCACGCTTTCAAGTTCCAAAAGTAAAGGCTTGACTGGAATGCCCCTTGCGAGCCCAGTAGCTGCTGCGCTTGTGCGTCCCTGGCCCCTTCGAAACCCCAAACCCTAAACCCTAAACCCTAGGCCTACCTGGGGGAGTTATCTGGCGCAGGAAAACCCTCAGCAAACCCAGCAGCACATGCGAAAAGTTGCTGATGCTTGCGAGGTGAGCGCTGCCTCTGCAAATTTGCTGCAGAAAGGGGTAGGCCTGAAGCAAGCCGCGGAGAAGGGTTTAGGGTTTGCGGGGGTTTAGGGTTGCGAGGGTTTGGGGTTTACGGGGGTTTGGGGTTACGGCTTGAGGGGCCGTGGCGCCGAACGCTAGCCAGCAGGTGAGGAGTTGAATTTAGGGTTTAGGGTTTAGACGCGGCAAACACTCAGGCTATAACACAAGTTTAGGGTTTAGGGTTTAGGGTTTAGGGTTTGGGGTTTACGAGAGTAGCTTCGCAGTCTCTGCAGCCAACCACCGCCTTCAGCAAGTAACGAAAGAGCCGCACTAACGACGCCACAGGGCTCATACGGCAAAACCCTTTTTCACAACACAAACCCTAAACCCTAAACTCCAAACCCTAAACCCTAATCCCCAAAAACCTAAACCCTAAACCCTAAATCTCAAGCCCTGACCCTTCGTTGGGAACCACAAGCCCTGATTGCTTCACCCTAACTTCAATAGCGTCAAGCTGCAGGCCGCTAGCTGAGCTCCAAATACCATAGGGTTTAGGGTTTAGGGTTTAGGGTTTGGTACCTGTGCCGGCCTGCAGCAGCCCGTCCTCTCCAGGGCATATGTCGCCTGTGTCAATATAAGTGCTGGGGCCCTCCCAAGGTGCCACAGGGGGAAAGGGCCACGTAGCAGTTGCTGCTGCTGCTGCTGCTGCTGCTGCAGAAGCTGCTGCTGCTGCTGCTGCTGCTGTAGGCTTCGCCCCGGAAGAGCCCAGGCTGGGCTCGCTCGCGCTGCGCAGCTGCAGCATCCGCTGCAGCATCTGTGCTGCTGCAGCAGCAGCAGCAGTGTGCTGCGTTGGTTGCGGCAGCAGCGGGGAGCAGCGGCCGCAGCGGCAGCCGGGCTTTTGCTGCTGCGGGCAGATTGGAGCAGCAGCAGCCACAGCTGATGCTGCTGCAGGGCCTGCTGCAGCAGCAGCAGCAGCGGCTTCAGTGCAAGCACAGCAGCAGCAACGGTCTTTGCCGTAGTACTGGGGCAGGTAGCTGGAAGGGTAAATGCACTGGTGCTGCTGCTGCTGCAGCAGCAGCTTCTCCAGCCCTAGGCGGGAGAGACGAGGAGACATTTCAGAGAAGCTGCTTGCTGCTGCAGCAGCAGCAAAGTCTGGCGCGTGGGGGCTAATGCTGCTGCTGCCAGAGCTGCAGCAGACCTCAGGTAGGTGCAGGATCGTTGACGCATGGGCCTGCAGCAGCAGCAGCAACAGCAGCAACACCAGAAAAGCTGCAGCAACAAAGCTTGCTGCGACGATGGCTGCACACAGCGCAGCTCATTGTTGCAGCAGCAGCGACAGCAGCAGCAGCTTGAACAGCTGCAGCGTTCATTCCAGCAGCAGCAGCAGCGGCGGCAACATTACACGCAGGGCAGCAGCAATGACCGCAGCAGCAATGCAGCCACATCCCCTCAGCACCTGCAGCAGCAGCACCTGGAACAACAGCAGCAGCAACAGCAGCAGCAACAGCGGCAGCAACAGGAACACACCGCCTGCAGGTCCTGATGATTCATAATGCTCTGCTGCGCGCTGTCCGGTACCCGTGAGGCCCCACGAAGTATTGCAGCGTCAAGCACAGGGTCGCAGACCTGCAGCGCAAACCCTAAACCCTAAACCCTAAACCCTCAACATTGGAGCTTGAGCGTATGGTGTAGGATTTGCGATGCTGTTAATGGGCTTGTGGGTGCGCCGGCGAAACTCGGGAATGTATGCAGCAGCAGCTGCTTTGAGAAATTAGGGTTTAGGGTTTAGAAATTAGGGTTCAGGGTTTGTGCTGGCCTTGTAGGCTTCTTCTGCTGCCACTGCATCTGGCTTGTCGAAAATGTCCACCGCAAAAAGAAGCTGCTTCGAAAGCCCGAGTTGTCTTTGAGGCCTCCCCCCTGTGTTGCTGCAGCAGCAGGTGCTGCTGCTGGTGCTGCTGCAGGCGCAGGCCGCGCCGCCCACTGCAGCTGCAGCAGCAGCAGCTGCAGCAGAACGTGCTGCGCAAAGTCGCTGCCACGCGTGCCGCGAACAAGTAGCAGCAGCATCGGGGGCCTGCGAGGGCCCCACAAGCTGCGCTGATATGTGGGGAAATGGCATTAAGCACAAAACCCCTGCACACAACACCTAAACCCTAAACCCCAAACCCTAAACCCTAAACCCTGGAGTTCTGACGCAGTTGCTGCGACGCTCCTGCACTAGGCACTCAGGCCTGAGTTATGCACGGCGGCGCGGCGAATAAACCCTACATCTTAAACCCTAAACCCTAAACCCCAAACCCTTAACCATAAACCCTAGACCCTAAACCCTAAACCCTAAACCCTGAACCCTGACCTTGGCCTGCTATGGGGACCTGCATTTCTAAAGGCAGCATCAGCAGGTCGCTAGTTTGAGCTTGAGAAGAAAGTTGAGAAGATCCATCGAACTGTCTGTACACCTCGAGGAGGACTTCGTCGCTCTGGCTGTTGCCGCTGCTGCTGCTGCTGCTGCTGCTGATGCTGCTGCTGCTGCTGCTGCTGATGCTGCGCATGCAAGGAATGAACTTGTTGCGCTGCGGCAGCATCGGCGGCAGCAGCGCAGCACGCCGCTCCCGCAGCAAAGAAAGCCGAGGGGTTAAGTATTCCAGAAAGGCCCACGCGAAGGTCTGCACACAACCCTAAACCCTAAACCCTAAACCCTCAACCCTACACCCTAGACTCTAAATAGCTCCCATTAGCTCTAGACGAACTCCCTTGACCCGAATCACCCGAAGCAAACACTCACGAGCCCCAGCGCACCCAGACAAACCCCGCAAAACCCTAAACCCTAATGCACAACAGTAAACCCTAAACCCTAATAAGCCTCATAAGCCCCAAACCCCCTCTAAACCCTAATAAACCCTTTCAAATAGGCACTGTAGCGCAGCCGAAGACACCCCCTGAATTGGACCTGATGGCGTTTAAGCCCAGAAGCTCGCTAAACCCTAAACCCTAAACCCTAAACCCTCGTCACATGGACGCCTGGGGCCACCCTAAGCCCGGGGGGGCTGGAATCCCCGGCCAAACCCCAACCCCACCCCCCCACTCCCTAAACCCTTCACCCCCGTAAACCCTAAACCCTAAACCCTAAACCCTAGGGCTCACCTTGCTGGTGTGTTGGTGTCCGAGAAAGAACTGCAGCAGCGCGACGCACTGGGGGTAAGTGACAACTAGCTGCTGCAGCGCAGCAGCATTCTCAGCAGCAAAACCTGCTGTGTCTGCAGGATGCAAAAAAGCCAAAGCTGAAGAGGCCAACTCCAGAAGTTCCTTTTCCTCCACCTGCGCCACGTTCAGCCCCAACACCTCCACCGCCTCCGGAATGCCCTGCGACAAACCCTAAACCCTAAACCCTAAACCCTAAACCCTAAACCCTAAACCTTCAGGGTAGGTCTACACCGAATTCGGGGTGCCCTGCGCCCAAACCCTAAGCGCTATACCCTACGCCCAAACCCTAAACCCTCAACCCTAAACCCTAAACCCTTGGCTCTCAAGCCTCGACGCGCAAGGAGTCATGAGACGAATCGCTGCCCAAGGAGGAAGCAACCCAAAGAGATCCAATCCCTAAACCCTAGAGTCCAAACCCTGAAGCCCAAACCCTAAACCCTAAACCCTAAACCCTACACCCTAAACCCTAACCTTGAAGAGTGCCCCTGTCAGCGGGTAAGTCGGAGGCAGCGCAATCAAGGTGCAGCCGATGCCGCCCTCTTCTACATGGTGCTGAAGCCTTGTGGTGGCCGCGTAGGCAAAACACTGCAGGCGCAAACCCTAAACCCTAAACCCTAAACCTTAAACCTTAAACCCTGAACCCTCGCTCGGAGGCGAGCATCCACAACCACGAGGAAAAGCCACAGAAAGCAACAGACGGTGGAGGAACGTGCAGACGCTGGAACTTACACTTCAGTGCCTAGAGTCTAGGGTTTAGGGTTTAGGGTTTAGGGTTTACTTTGGCGTAGGTTAAGGCGCTTCCCACAGTTGCATAAAAAGCCTCAGTCAGCAGCGCCCTGTAGCCAGGAGGCAGCATTTGTCCCTGGGGCAGCAGCCGCACATCAAAAGAAGCTCTTCTGCTGCTGCTGCTGCTGCTGTTGTTGTTGTTACTGCTGCCCGCTGAGGCTGCTGAGGCTGCTACGGACGAGGCCCTGCCCTGCTGCTGCTGCTGCTGCTGGCGCCGCTGTTGCTGCTGCAGCGGCAGCACCACTATTTGATAAACCAAACACCGCAGCGCGATGCAAGTGCTGCGCAAAAAGCTTTTTGTCTCTCTTAGAAATGACTGATACACTTGCTGCTGCTGCGGCGACAGCGGCTTAGCAGCAGCAGCAGCTGCTGCTGCTGCTGCTGCGCCTGCTGCGCCCCCTGAAGAACCCACTGCACCAGGCAAAGGCACCGCTGGCGGGTAAAAATGCACAGCTTTGCTGCTGCTGCTGCTGCTGCTGCTGCTGCTCATGCTGCTGCTGGTGCTGCTGCTGCTGTCAGACTCCTCGAGCCCTTCGCTGCATGCAGCTGCGTGCATCTGCCCACCAATTGCACAGAACCCAGCAGCAAACCCTAAACCCTACACCCTAAACCCTAAACCCTACACCCTAAAAGCTAAACCCTAAACTCTAAAACCTACTCTGAAAAGAAGCAGCAAGCTTCATATACCTATAATGTTAAACACTGAACGTGAATTCTTCACAGGAAGAATAAATCCTAAACCCTGAACCCTAAACCCTAAACCCTAAAATGCCTTACGTGTGGAATCTCTTCCTGCAGCTCAATAAGAGAAGAACACAAAATGCGCAGCGCCAGCAGCAGCAAGTCCATTGTTTCCTGCTGCATGCGCTGAACGGCCTCCTTGCTGCTGCTGCTGCTGCGCCTGCTGCTGCTGCTGCCATTTGCTGCTGCACCAACAGCTGCATCACCCACTGCCATGCCCGAGTCCATCTCCCCTGGGGCTCTTCCCTGCGCTGATGCTGCTGCTGCTGCTGCATCACCGGCTGCAGCGTCTGTTCCTGCTGCTCCTGCTGCTGCCCCTGCTGCTGCTGCATCTGCAGATGCTGAGAGGTCGCTTTCTGCGCGTGCTGCTGGCTCTGCTGCAGCATCCTCTGCTGCAGCAGCAGCAGCAGCAGCATCTGTGTACTTATTAACAGCAAGGTCACAAACGAAATTCAGCAACTTTGCCACTAAATGTCTTATACTCAAAACAGCTAAGAGGCCTCCCCCTGTTGCTGCTGCTCCTCCGAGGCCCCCGCTCTTTTCGACATCTGCTGCTGTTGCTGCTGCAGTTGCTGCTGCTGCTGCTGCAGCTGCTGCGGCGTCGAAAGAGCCGCCGCTCCCGCCCTCAAACGACTCCAAAGCTGCTGCTGCTGCTGCTGTCGCTGCTGCTGCTGCTGCTGCAGATAAATGCGGCCGAGACTGCAGCAGCAGCAAACCGCTCCAGCGCGCCACGCGTAGCAGCAAAGATAAAGAGACGCAAATGGGGGAAGGGAAAATCAACAAAAAGTCATGCAGGTGACATATCGTGTAAACCCTAAACCGCACACCACACGCCGTAAACCCTAAACCCTAAACGCTAAACCCTAAGCAGCTCCTCGCCGTGCAAACAGGCTCCGGCGGGAGGTCGTTACAGCCTTTAAGCCGCGCCTCCTCAACCTCCAGGCCAGTCCTAAACCCTAAACCCTAAACCCTAAACCCTAAACCCTAAAACCTAACCTGAGGAGACAGGAGTCAATTCTTTCTGTGAAGACTGAAAGCTCAAGAGACATCAGCCGTTCCACCACGGGAGTTAGCGAACCCACAAAAGGAGAAGCAGCAAGTAGTTTTGCTGCCTCGTGCACCTGCGCAGCATCCGCAAACCACGATTTAGGGTTTAGGGTTTAAGGCTGGGGACGCGGCCTGGAAACGTGGGGCCGGAGCAAACCCGCCAAACACACGTAGACCCTTCGCAGGATCTAGGGTTTAGGGTTTAGGGTTTAGCGTACTGTTTTTCGCTTTAAAAAAAGCGGCGGTTTGAGAGCCTGCAGCAAACGAACCATCACCTGCGGCAGCTGCTGCAGGGCTTTTGCAGTAAATGCTTCCAGCGTCCCGCTGCTGCTGCTGCTGCTGCTGCTGCTGCTGTCGGCAGAGGCGCTGTTCTTCAGCAGGTAGCAAATAAACAACAAAATGCGGCTCTGTGCCTGAAACAAATCTGCAGCAGCAGCAGCAGCACCAGCAGCAGCAATGAAGTACGCAGCACTGGGCACGCCGCGCAGCGGCAGCCAAGGCCAAAACAACAGCAGCGGGAGAAGCAGCAGCAGCAACAGCACGCCATACGCATTCAGGTCGAAACGTAGTTAAAGCAGCAGCAGCAACAACAGCAGCAGCAACAACAGCAGCGGCAGCAATAGCAGCAGCAGCAGCACCTTTGCTGGCTTCGGCCGTCGCCGGGTCCGCCAGAAAGGCTGGCGGTAGCTCCAGGCCGACGAAGCGCAGCAGCAAGTCCAGACAAACCCTGCAGCAGCAGCAGCAGCAGCAGCAAGAGGGAGACACAGTCTCTCTGCACAGGTCGCAGTTTAGGACGGTTTAGGATTTAGGGTTAAAAGCTTAGGGTTTAGGGTTTTGCTGCTGCAGGGCCTTCTTGAATGGGGAGCTCTGAGTCTGCAACAGTTCTCCGTCGGCCTCCGTTCTCCTTTAGCGTTTAGGGTTTAGGGTTTAGGGTTTAGGGT